TTATCTCTGGAAAATTCTTCTAATCCTCTCCTTTACCAGTCAATGTTCATTTTCTGCATGTGCCTATGGTAGAATCTCCATTTCCTGATTGAGGGCCATTTCCACTGTTTATGGAAAATTCTGTCTTTGTATTTGTGGCTTCACTAAGTTCATTTTAAATGCTGAATTTTAATCAGAGGGCTTTTAAAGAGGAATCATTTCTCAATCATGCTCTATGAAATGCCAGCTCTAATTACTTATTATCTTTAATGGTTCCTTTTTTTCTACGATTTTCTTTTTCTATTTTTCTAGCTCTTTGGGTTTTGCTTCTGGACCCTTAATTGCTCAGAGGAGAAATGGTTTTATTTTGTATGTGTTCTTCTAGAACATTAATATTCTGAGAGGAGTCTGAGCTGGCAACAAATTTTTTCATGGTCAGAAGCAAGGACTTTTTGTTGTATCCTGTTTAATTGTCATAACTATCCCTTTTCTCCACATGCTCTTCTAGTAGGTGGTAAATATCACTACTCAATTTCAGTAGTGTGGTGTCAATTGCATGAAGACAACCATTTCCTAGTCATTTACATCTATGAATAACCCATATGACTATACAGAAACAATACTGCAAAATAGGTACAATCTATTTTTATTTATTTTTTACTGTGTTGGGTAGGAGACAATTGTAGCATTTAAAAAGTTCTTACAATGTATCAAACATATCATACTTGAATTTAACCCCTTTACTATTCTACTTTAACCCCCTGTCCCCATTCCCTCAATAGTTTCAATAGGTATCGTTTTTATATTTACATACATGTGCAAACAGTATTTGCACTACATTCACCCTCCCACATCCTTTCCCCACCACCTCCCCCCTCCACACTGGTACTAACCCTCCCACCCTCCATAGGCAGGACTTGTTCTGCCCTCCTGTTCAATGATTTTGTGAAAGAAAAAAATGACTCCTACACAGGGAGTTTCCTTGTGGCACTTCCATGAATATATGTATTATAGCCCAATTTGGTTCATCTCCTCTATTTTTCTTTCTACCTTAGTCTCTTTCTTATGGTGATTCCAACAGGTTTAATAATTCTATATTTGCTCTTGTATAGAGAGTACATCAGTCATATTCACCTTCTTAACTTTCTTCTTTTACCCTTCTGTTCTCCTATGTGACCTCCCCTTACCATGATCAGTTTTTCATAATATTGCTGTATTTGTATTAGGTCTATATTCCACATATGAGAGAAAACATGTGGCTTTTGGCCTTCTGAGCCTGGCTAACCTCACTTAAAATGATGTTCTCCAGTTCCATCCATTTACCTGCAAATGACAAAATTTCATTCTTCTTTGTGGCCGAATATAATTCTATTATATATAAATACCACATTTTCTTCATTCATCAGTAGTGGGCATCTTGGCTGTTTCCATATCTTAGCTATTGAATAGTGCTGCAGTAAACATTGGTGCAGGTGCTTTTATTGTAACTTGACTTACATTTCTTCGGGTATATCCCTAGGAGTGGAATTGGTGGATCATACAGCAGTTCTATTTTTTAGTTTATTAGGGACCTCCATATTGTTTTTCACTGAGGTTGTACTAATTTACATTCCCATCAGAGGATTCATTTTTTTCCACATCCTCACTAACATTTGTTGTTGTTTGTGTTCTTTATGGAAGCCATTATAACAGGAGTGAGGTGGAATCTTTTTATTTGCATTTCCCTTATGGACAGGAATGTTGAGCATTTCTTAATGTGTTTTTTGGCCATTTAAACTTCTTCCTTTGAAAAAGCTCTGTTCAGTTCATTTGTCCATTCTTCATTGGGTCATTGATTTCAGGGAGTTTGGTGTTTGGAGCTCACTGTATATTCTGGTTATCAATCCCTTGTCAGATGTATAGGTGGCAAAGATAGATTCTCTCCCATTCTGTGGGCTGCCTCTTCAATCTGGTGACCATTTCTTTTGTTATGCAAAAACTTTTAAATTTCATGTAGTTCCATTTGTCAAATCCCTTTGCTTAGTTGCCGAGCCATTTGAGTTCCATTTAGGAGGTCATTATTTATGCCATTTAACTCCAATGTGTTCTCTACTCTTTCCTGCACTAGATTCAAAGTTTCACGTCTTATATTAATGTCTTAATTCACTTTGAATTGATATTTGTATAGGGTGAAAGACATGGATCTAGTTTCAGTTTTCTGTAGTCAGATATCCAGTTTTCCCAACAGCATTTTTGAAGAGGCTGTCTTTTCTCCTTGTATGCATTTGTTCCTTTTGTCATAAATCAGGTGAGCATAGCTGTGTGAATTCATATCTGGGTCTCCTATTCTGTTCCACTGCTCTTCATATCTGTTCTTGTGCCAACATCATGCTATTTTTATTTCTATGACTCTGTAGTATTGTTTGAAGTCAAGTACTGTAATACTTCCAGCATTGCTGTTTTACTTAGTACTGCCTTAGCTATTAAAGTTTTTTGTGTTTAGGGTTGATTTTTCAATCTCTGGTCAATGGAATTTTGATGGGGATTGCATTGAACATGTAGATTGCTTTTGGTAGTATAGCCATTTTTACTGTATTGATTCTACAACCTGTGAGTATGGGAGATCTTTCCATCTTCTGTAGTGTTCTTTGATTTCTTTCTTCAATGGATTATAGTTTTCCTAGCAGAGGTCTTTCACATCCTTTGTTAAGTTTATTCCTTGGTACTTTTTTTGAGGCATTATAAATGGAATTATTTTCCTATAATCTTTCTCAATCTTCTTATTGTTGGTATATAGAAAGTCTTCTGATTTTTGTAAATTGATTTTGTGTCCTGCTATTTTACTGAAGCTGTTTATGGTGTCTTAGAGGTTTTGGTGGAGTTCTTTGTGTCTTTTAGGTATAGGATCATGTTATCTGCATACAGGGATAGGTTGACTTTTCCTTTCCAATTTGTATCCTGTTATTTCTTCTTCCTGTCTTATTACTCTGGCTAGGGACTCCAAGACTTTGTTCAGTAAGAGTGGAGAGAGTAGACACCTTTGTCTCATTCCTGACTTAGAGAAAATGGTCTCAGTTTTTCTCCATTTAGTATGATGTTGGCTATCAGCTTGTCATATGTAGTCTTTGTTATATGGAGATACATTCCTTCTTTTTTTTTTTTTTTATTGTGGATGGTGGTGTCTGTCAGCTAGGCTAAGCAGGCAGTGTCATGGCTGCATGTGCTCAAGTTTGCCAGGGGCTCCTGGTGGATGAGGGCAACCCACATATTTCAATCAACAAACTTACAAACCATTTGAGGAATAAGTTATTGGTTGTTGTCTATAAACCTTTCATTGACACTGCCTGGTAAATTCTAAAAATCTCACTATCAAACTCTGCAGAATGTGGAACTTGAGCGGGGGGGGGGCGGAAGGGCAGGGGGATGAGAACGCTGGCAAGAATCCCTGCACTGTGGACCCACTTGGTAGCACACAGGACAAGACTGTGGCAAAACAAATAGTAACAAAACCAAAACTAACTCAGAGGAATTGGGCTCTGAATGGGGAAGGGCTTAGGAATCTTTCCATCAATTGATTTTGCCTATATGTCCCTTTTATTTTTTATTGTTTTATTATTCATATGTGCATACAAGGCTTGGGTCATTTCTCCCCCCTGCCCCCACCCCCTCCCTTACCACCCAGTCTGCCCCCTCCCTCTCCCCACCACCCCCTCAATACCCAGCAGAAACTATTTTGCCTTTATCTCTAATTTTGTTGAAGACAGAGTATAGGCAATAATAGGAAGGAACAAGTGTTCCTGGTTGAGATAAGGATAGCTATACAGGGAGTTGACTCACATTAATTTCCTGTGCGTGTGTGTTACCTTCTAGGTTAATTCTTTTTGATCTAACCTTTTCTCTAGTTCCTGGTCCCCTTTTCCTATTGGCCTCAGTTGCTTTTAAGGTATCTGCTTTAGTTTCTCTGCGTTAAGGGCAACAAATGCTAGCTAATTTTTTAGGTGTCTTACCTATCCTCACCCCTCCCTTGTGTGCTCTCGCTTTTATCATGTGCTCAAAGTCCAATCCCTTGTTGTGTTTGCCCTTGATCTAATGTCCACATATGAGGGAGAACATACGATTTTTGGTCTTTTGGGCCAGGCTAACCTCACTCAGAATGATGTTCTCCAATTCCATCCATTTACCAGCGAATGATAAGATTTCATTCTTCTTCATGGCTGCATAAAATTCCATTGTGTATAGATACCACATTTTCTTAATCCATTCATCAGTGGTGGGGCATCTTGGCTGTTTCCATAACTTGGCTATTGTGAATAGTGCCGCAATAAACATGGGTGTGCAGGTGCCTCTGGAGTAACCTGTGTCACAGTCTTTTGGG